TGAAAAGATTTCAACAAAATGACTATATTAGCAATTCATAACAAATACTACGAATCTAGAAATATTGGAAACATTGTACGGGTAAGTTTTGGAGCACTGGATGATGACCAAAGAATGAAAGCTATGAAAAATTCAAGTGTGACCGACAAATACAGTCGAAAGTAAATCAGCCCTATATGTTGATAAAATAAAACGCGTCACCGAAGAAGATCCCGGATTTTTAAGTAAGATAAAAAGAATTAAATATTCACAAATAAAACGAATGTCGGGAAAACTATGAGCTTCCAGGCATGACTAGTAGCAGAACATAATGTTTTATTAACGTAATTTTAGGGTATTATATTGTTTTAGTTTTCGATGTCTTCATATAAACTCTAAGTGAGTTTAGCACAAAGTCTATTACAAAAAATGTTTCACCGTGTCCTTCTTTACATCGTTATTAATTCAATAAATCGTGAAATTTGAGATTGAAGCGCATATCTAAATAATTTCCCTCACTTTCAATAAACGTATTGTCATTAATATTTCTTAATAAATACGGGGATTCCAATAATATATTTGTCGTAAGAGTCGAAATTGTAGTTCTCTTGTACCATACTATAGTACCATATTGCGATACTTACATGCAAGCTGCTCAGAAATAGTCATGGAAGGAAGAGTGCATAAAAACAGCTTTTACTCAGTGAAAATCAGATAAAATATTCGACTTGTTACTGAGCAGAATCACCCATGACTACGCAGTGGTTTAAGTTTGCCATTTTAGGAAGGAGCTCGGAAGCGGCTTATTTTACACTGGTTTAATCTTGTAAATTGGTTGAGCATGAATCATTGTTTTAGCAGAGTCTTAGATAGTTCACAAATTCTTACGAGGCTCTATAAAAATTTTCATCAAATTAACCGATGAAACAGTAATAACCCTTTGTCACTGGATATAGCAGATGTAGTATGGTTGACATATTTTATTTATTCTCCTTTGCTTTCCTTCAAGTTTTAAAATTAATAATATAGTCTTCTCCCGTTGCCTCGGTAGTTGCTTGCCCCGCCCCAGGAACAACAAGACTAGCTTTCTGGTTCTTCTGAATGATAGAAAACTAAATTAAAATAAATATTATAATGATGAATAATTGGTGTTAAAAATAAATTAATAGATACTTAATATTGTGTCATTAATCCTTATCTTAATTCTGATTTGTAAATGACTTAAATAAAATTGATAATTATTAGACTTTACTTCCTCTAGCTAACACCATAACAACTGTAATTGATGATATAAATAGCGTCTAGACCACTACTGTATCTATCGTATCCCAGCCTGCCTGATATTAAACAAAATGTCTTGTTGGTATGGAAAATATAATGTGGTACTGTATAGTTATTCTCATTAGTTCGCCAATATACATTGGATATTTTTTACTAGTTGGCTTTGATATAGTTTACCACTTCAAAACTAAGGACGGATAGTGCAGATAGTTTTTGTGTAGGTTTGGGCGAAATTCAACAAACAAAACAAACAAGACTAGCTGTCATCCATCTCTCTGTTCTATCTAGGCGCAGATAGTTCTTGTGTAGGTTTGTGCGAAATTATGAAGCAACAACAACAACAAAAAATATCTAAAGTCTTTTAAACAGGGTCGCATAGAAACCTCTTAAAGTTTTTAATTTTGTTGTCTTGCTTAATACTAAGCATAATTTAGGTTCTCACTTTTAATTGTTCGTTGTCCAGCTTAATACGTAAGCATAATATAGGTTCTCACTTTCAATTGTCTTACAATCCAATGCGCGCAGTGCGGCAGATTTAATGATTCGCATTATATATACTGCTTGTATAGAATGATTGATGTTTCATTTACAATTTTGCCGTAACACATTGGTTTCGACTACTGTAACTACTCCATCAGCAAATAGGCCGTAACTGCTGGTTTGATATATAAAAGAACATCATTGACTGCCGTATGTACTAAATTACTATAATAATCTTTTCGACAGTTTCAATTTCAGTAATAACTGCATAATATGCCAGCCTTATCGGTTATATTCAACTATAAAATCATTTTAAAGTATAAGTGAAGCCTTCTCGTAGATCTCTGATTTTTAGTGTAAAGCACAAGTACGTTCCATAGTCCTTACTGTTTTATGCCGTCTATTTGTTTATTTTTCTTATTTTCTTAGAAATATTAGTATATTCACTAAATTTAAGTCGATAATTTTTTATCACATTTGTCACTTCAAGAGTAATTTACTTGAAGTTGGATAAATACGTTATGAATCCGCTACTAAAAAAAAAATATGTGTACGCTTAATTTTAATATCTTGGCCTTCATGTCCTAAAAGTTTTTTGGAGGGGGTTTTACAAGAGATAAGGTCAGATTGAAACGGGTTATTTGGCCATATGACATAAGCAACCAAAAGTTCCAATTCAAACCATTGTAGCTGTTTAATCAGCTCAATCGTATATGGAATTTCTTCAACTGAGAGAAAAAAACTTGCATTAAACATTTTATATTGTGTCTAAACATACGATTGCAACCCAAAAATCGTTTAATATATTATACTGATTATAAAAAAGTTTGGTTGTCACGTACAAAAATCATCAGTGGAATAAAAACTCCTAAAACATATAATGGTACATTCCTTGTCAGCTTTGAAAAATACTCACTGTACAGCTTGTCATTTATAGTTTCACCGAACACTCCCCATATATATTGAGAATTTCAGCCACAACACTCTGTACACGTAGCAATGGTACATACCAAGGTGATTTCAGAAACTACTTCCACCATAGCTTATTCAATGTTAAGTTAAATACCTTCTCAAGTTCACAGTTACACCAGAACTTTTCGTACAGCTAACATCAGTTACGTATAATATTTTCATCTCTTATTTCTGTAAATCTTCTTACTTAATTAGTTTCATTAACTACATGATCTACATCCTGTAACAATACAATATGAAGAGTTTCACAATTAATACTAACATTATGCTTAGCTTATGCTATACTGAAAGTTTTGTCATACGACTGTCATATTTCAATACATGTGATTACTGTAGTGTCGCAGTATGTTTCGAATATATGTATAGCTTCGTCATTAAATTTACACAACTATTTTCTCCTACTCTTGATAAGATCATTAAGAATATATTTGCATGATCATAGCCTAATTAGTTAAACATTGTACATTACATACTCATTCCCTGAAGGCCTTTACCAAGTCATTACTGTACAATCTGTATTAATTGCTTGAAAGCTGAATTAACGAGGTTATAATTTGTATCTCTTTATAACAACACCGAAGTCAAAACGTCTATACTGTGTGAACTTTCATGATATTATTGAGTGATTAACACAAACCATGTACTGAGATTTTAAAATTTTAATCAACGTGTGCAGATTTCTTAGGAATCTCATGAACCAATCACCATTCAGTTAAATTAACTATCCCTTAATAACTTTATCAACAAATCACTGAACGACTAAATTGATCTCTTGATAACTTCATGAATTAATCACAACTCAGACAAACTGATTCCTAGAGAGCTTCATTAGCCAATCATTATATAGCTAAACTGATCTACTGATAATTTACATCTGACAACTCTGTAGTTAAAATGATTTATCTATAGTACATTTATTGAGTAATTACCATTTTATGCAGATGTTGTGAGACTTGCTTCTATATTTAAGAGCATGCTAAACACAAAAAGAGCTAATCAAGGAATGAGCTTCCACGATCGAGTGGTAAAGTCACTAAAGTAATAATAGTTTGTTATTAAGAAAGTTTGTTTATTAATTCGAATTAAATATACAAGTGAAATACTAATTTCTACCTATACTGAAAATGCCAATGAAAAATTACAAAAACTATAGTGATATGATTAGCTTTGAAAACATTTATTTTGTTTTTACATTGTCAAAATCATGTAATGCCAGTTTGTTCGATCATAGATACCTAACCTTCCCATATAACCTAACCATAGATACCCAACCTTCCCATATAACCTAACCATGTAACCATAGATACCTAACCTTCCCATATAACCTAACCATGTAACCATAGATACCTAACCTTCCCATATAACCTAACCATGTAACCATAGATACCTAACCTTCCCATATAACCTAACCATGTAACCATAGATACCTAACCTTCCCATATGTTCTGTATCTACAGATGTTCTGTGTCTACAGTTAATTACTTATTACCTATAAATTTTATTGTTTCCATCTAATCGCCAAATCAAAATGGCAAAAAACAAAGAAAAGAAAATCTAGCAATCAATTCCTTCTTTTAAAAAGCTATCACCTGATTTCTGAGTCTCGTTTCTGTGTATATGTTCATCATTTGGAATAGTCTTGTGAAGTTTGAAATAATTTTGACATTCTGGCTAATTTCAGTGTTCAAGTATTTACTTCTTAAATTGTGTTATTTTGTAAAGAATCAGATGGGATGAATAATTTTTTGCTAAAGAATAATAAGAAAGAATATACGAAATTCTGCTACTTTACACGTAGTGGAAGTCTTGTCTCCTGTAACAAAACACCCCACCAGGCTAATGACATTTTATTTGCTGAAATTAAATGGCAGAAAAAAACAACAACATTATTTCATATAGAAAAGAACCACAATAACAGCCATGAGCACTTTATGAATTTAAGTTTTGAGTATTTACAAAAGGTAATAATTATACTCTAGTGACCACAAGGCCTTCTCGGTTTTCGAATTCACTTTAAAATAACCCTGATATTAAAGCATTCGCAGATAATATTATACAGATCTAATAATAGATTGTAAGAACTTTATAGTACTCATCCAGTAAAAAAACAACAACAAAAAACACCTCACACTTTTAAATAGAGTTTTCTATACTGTTATAAACACAGTTACGATTAAAGTTTTAGAGAATACACACCTAGGTATAATCACAGATGGATGTTCCTGCCTTATTATTCGAACTAAATTATAAAGAATATTAATTGACAAATTAAAATATTGTTGACCTACCTGTTATACCTGACCGCGTCTGTGACTGGTCAGATACACTTGGAAGCTCGCCGGTTTCAAGGTTAAGCACCATTCCCTGTTTGGTAAATGTCTTTATTAAACATGCTTTGATTCTGTATACCACTGTTAGACGATGCCATTCACGGGTGACGTACGTCTCCTTCTAGCTCTCTAATATTAGAGTTTCGGGAAGATCACCTACCGTTCCTTTAAAATTTAGAAGAAAAAAAGCTAGCACACTTTCCTTGTAGCCTTCAGGCTAAAAGATGTTTTCTGAATGTGGTTGGTATGGGTACCTGCGAAGCCTCTTGCCTTTCTTCTGGCCGCAGACCACTGCGATACAACAGACGACTCTCAGAGGTGACGCAACATAGTGCCCCGCCTTCCTTTTTTTTAACAGCTATAGCAATGGCCTATCAGCAAAGAGAGCCTCGCCTATTAAGGCAGTGCATGACAGCCGCCTTGTATGGAGTTGTTAAATATAGGCGTGAGCTGTCGCATTCTAGAGACAGAGAAGGCAAACAAATAATTATGTCGAAGTATGTAAATAGTGCTAATGACAGCTGACAGTGATAAAAGATGAATAACGGAAAGTCTGTTATATTTTAAATAGTTATTTTGAAAGCTTCTATAACAAATTGATCCATATATTTTGTCTCACGTTTCCATTCTGTTACTGACTTTAACAAATATAATTTTAAAATGATGGAACATAAATGGTTCGTCTTGATTTACTTTTATAATACACATTTTGTAGTTAATTTTAGTTATTCCTAAACCGTGAATTCTGCAACAATCAGTTTCATGTGTTTTTGAACATGTTCACAACATCTAAGTTCTAGAACAATGTTACTGGTGATTGCTAACTTATATACTTTGACTTACAAATTGGATCTGCTCGAATCAAACTACACAAACAAAATAATGATTCTTATTTCTCAAGTTATTTAAAGTAACTTTAGTTTACTGAGTTGTATATTTTCAATCAGAAAAAAAAATTAACAATTGAAGAAAAGAACCAGTTGTTGTCATATGTACAAAAGGTATTTAACTTAATTGTATTTTCCTTTGAAACAGATAAAAAGTATGTGTTGTTATTAATATCTTATGATATATTTCGCTCTAAATAAAACAACACAAATAGAGCAACTAGATTTCACAACGATTTCATAAAAAAATACTTATTGGAGTATACGTTTAAGGTTTAAACAACACAATAATTGAACAGCTAATTCACGCTCCCGTTCAGTACATCATGTATAAGTCAGAGCTCCAAATTATTCAGGCATAAAGTACTGTAGTTTAAGAGTTTGGGACCTTGATTATTCGATGTAACAGTTTTAGAAAATCCCAAGAATAACCCATGTATCCGGTTTGGTAACCCTGCTTATAAACGTTATCTAGTTAACACACGAACAAATAGAAAGAGAAAGAAAAAAAATGAATTTTCTGAAGGGAGAATATTTGTCTGTCTGTTAATTTACCTGTAAATTGTAAATTAATAGACAATGTCCTTATGACATCTATAATAATTATAAACAAACACCTAAGCTCAGATTAACATATTTTTTGTGATATCTGTTTATGATTTCTTTTAGCAATTCAAATCAAGCAAAACCTAATGGGTATTGGAAGAAAAAAAAATACTGCTATCATTTGACACATTAAAAACCGTGTGGCACGAGTTAGCCATGCATAAAATTTCACAATACAAACTAGATATTTTATTTATAATTTTTTATAGAAATTTTAAGCTTTGTAAGAAGCCTTCAAATTATCGGCGTGAAGTGACTGCTATACTTTTTAAGTTTTATTATTTTAAAGAAATTTCATTCGTCCTGGCAAATGAATTGACTTCCTCCCGTATATGTTATAATTCACTTTTCCTAAAGACATTTCTCAAAAGGAACTATATGAAAAGTTTGATATTCAAATAAACTTTAAGACATCCATTTGTTTTTAAATATAATAAAATCACATCCCAACACACAAAAAAAGTGAATATCATAATTCTGTAAAGATAAAACATGTATCATTAGGCTATTAAAGTTACAGTTAAAAATAGACTTGTAATAAGTTGTAGTTATTCATTATATCATTGCTGAATTTTTCACGCATCGTTGCTTATTAAATAAGAAAATAAAGGAATAGTGTTTGCAAAAGTTGCATCTTAATTCCCAAGTAAAAGTTTTCATCTCTTTTTCCATGTTATCATCCTAAACTTAATACTAACCGTAGTTGAATTGCATATCACAACCCCAATTGAAGAAGTTGTTTATACTTCATTATCAGCAACACTCTCCGTATCTTGCGAATAATCAGCTCTTAGCTGTTAAGAGCTAATCTACCGGAATGATGCGGGTTTTTTTTAGGCGTTTATTTCTAATAAAAGCTTTATCTAAAGATAAACCAGAAGATGTTGAAAATTACAAGTGAGAATCACCACAGTTACAATTATCTAATTGTTCGGATGAACATATCGTGAAAATCACTGACGAGCACCCAAGGAGGTACCGCCTATCGACACAGAGGTAGGTCTCGCATTGCCGTTCCCCTTGACGCGATGATCTCAACATCTTTTTATGTTATTGTTTCAAGGGTACTTTAGGCAGTGTGAGTATAGTAGAGACTTGGCTTTAACTGACTACTTCTGCCTGTTTATAGAGTGGGACGACGTTTCGGCTTCTGTAATGAGGACTGAGTATAGAAGCCGAAACAGTCGTCCCACTCTATAAACAGAAAATATTAATTCACTAAAACCAAATCTTTATCCTTTTCCATTATTTAGAAAGCTGCTACGTAAGATTTGAAGATCACACTGGGAAAAATATCTCGACTGGAGCATTAGAAATGTACAAAGTACATGCGAAGATTATAAACGAACATTTAGAAATAAATACATATGTATGTATATATATAGTTGTGTGTGTGTAATGAAAAATTACAGCGTCATCAATATCCATTGAAGCATATCTGAAACACGCATTAGTGGTTCTCATACTTCAAGACTCTTGTACCATCTTTTTTTTCTCTTAAGTTTTCTTTTATAGTAGAAAACCAGGTGTAATTTAATGTGAAAACGAAAAACCGAGTATCAGAAATTAATTTGAAGGATACAATTTATTTTTTCTGGCAAGATTGAAGAATATGTGATGCTTTTCTTGTCAATGTGAGGAGAAGTAAACAATGGTAAGTTTACGAAGGTGGAGAGCCAGTCTAGAAGTGAGGAAAGTAGTGTGTGTATGGTCGCGGGAAGATAAGATTATTCTTATTACAAATTATTAAATATACGTTAATGTTTATGCGTACCACTGACATTTGGTATGTGTACCGCAGTTTGAGAACCCATGGTACATACAGCGTTTTCAATTATAATAAAAACGCTGTCTAAAACACACTTACACACGTTTATTTTTAGAACATAGTGAAATATTCTTTATCAAGATTTAACACATTAAAAGTCAGGAAAAGTGATACCACACCCAAAATAGATTATAATAGCAAATAGTAATATGTTTAAGAAACCACACTTCTTACAAGTTTAATTCAAGTAGAGATTTTTTCTGATTGTATGTTCATAAAATTTTACATTATTCATAAAACTATTAGATGTAAGTAATACTGTTAACAGTTGGTTTTTATCTTTTCATTTCCACTTTCATACTGTTTATAAATTCACAACTTTACACACATACCAGTACTTATAAAATTTACACTTTTAAAGGTGAGAATTCTTACTTTGTCAACAATGAGGGGTGTGACTGTTTGATCGTTTTTCTTAATGTTTAATACGTAATCCAACCCATTCAGTTAGAATCTTAATTTTAATTTATATTCTCTGGTATGTCAATTGAATTTCATTTGTAGGCGAAATATACAATAAAAAGTTCACTTAATATAACCAACAAATATTGTTTTTATAAATAAAAATTATTCTGCCTGATTGAACTGGAACATTTCTATGTCTAAACATACATGAGAATGAGCAGGTTGTTAAAGATACTTAGATTGAGTTTCCAGATGTTCTAGATATTTGAATTTAGAATGTCAAGAGTAATTTATATCTACTCAATTATTTCTAGCCACCATGAAATCTCACAATGAACCCGCTTGGTTGTTAAATGTTCAATAAATGCTTAGATTATTCATTTTCTTTAAGAAGAATTTTCTACAAGTCTCCGACAGCCTGAAACTAAAACCTAATAAAGACCTAGTTGGGTAATGTCTATTCACTTAACCATATCCACAATGAGGGTTCTCTATGGGCAGGTAAGAATCCCACAGTAGTCCGATCCGGTTGTTAAATGTTTAATAAGAGCTGAAAATAATTCACCAAATCCTAGATGACTAGCAGTTAACGCCAAAAATCCAACTGGTTAATGTGTATTCATTTAACCATATCCATAATGAGGGTTATGTTTAGTCAAGTAAAAATCCCACAGTGAGCCTGCTCCGTTGTGAAAAAATATCATTAGAGTTGAAAACAATTTTCCAAAACCCTTAGCAACCAAAAACTGTGTCTTTAGTTGACTTTAGTCGGTTAATGTCTATTCATTTAACCATAGCCATAATGAGGGTTCTGTTTAGCCAATTAAAAATCCCACAGTGAGCCTGCTCCGTTGTGAAAAAATATCATTAGAGTTGAAAATAATTTTCCAAAACCCTTAGCAACCAAAAACTAAAGTCAACTAAAGACACGGTCGGTTAATGTCTATTCATTTAATCGTATCGGTGATGAGGGCTCTTTTTGAAGAGCTACACATTTCAAATTGGAACTTTCCAGTTTTTAAAAGTTCAATTAAGACCCAGACAGCAACAAGGATCTTAACACTCTTTAGTAATATTGTACTATAATTGCAATTCTCAAATACTTTAGTAAACAATTTAGAATTAGAATCGTTCTCTAAAGTGAACATATATGTGTGTGTGTAAAAAATACTCGTGTTCTGATTCATTTAGGTGTAATCCAGATTTATTCTGAACTAAAAAATTAAAAAGCGCCTATTTTGTAAAAACTTTAAGTTTATAGTTCCTTTAGCAGGAATTTAACAGGTTTCTTTTTAGCTTTTATCCTTCAGTTTAGGAGGAGTTTAACAAGTTTAGTTTTAGCTTATATTCTTCAGTTTAGCAGGAGTTTAACATGTATCTTTTTTTAGCTTATATTCTTCAGTTTAGCGGGAGTTTAACAAGTTTCTTTTTAGCTTATATTCTTCAGTTTATTGTTTAAAAATGATGACTTTTCCTAGAGGCTAAGCTAAAATATACAAAATAGAAAATATCATACTCATTACTACTTGATAT